AAAATATTTCATTTAAGTAATTGTTAAGCATGTATATCCAAGCTATCCTGTACTTCTACTAAGAATCTCAAAAAAATTAATCCCTAAAACTTCACTACTGGAACAACCAGAACTGAATTCAATTTTTTTGCTTGAGCCCAATCAATAATTACTAGATGTGCCACGCGGTTTCACTCGCGTAGTTCATAGTCATACCTTATGTTCATCGGGATAGCTTCTCTTCTTCGCTTCGATAGGTTAATTCCATTCAAAAAAGACAGTCAAATCTATTCTTTTATATTTATACTAGCGTTATATATTAAAGTTGGTGCGGTGGCTGCCGCGCGACGTGTTCGGGATTCGATTTCCTCACAAATCACAAATTGATGTGCCGCGTCTTGTAAAGTGTACGTAAAATTGTATATTTATAAACGCGCCTACGACATCGTAAAATTGTATATTTATAAACGCGCCTACGACACCGGAGAAAATCAAGGCGTGGAGCAAAGTTTTTAAAAATAAAAAAAATATTAACACGCTATATCGAAGAACATACCGCAGGCCTCCAACTTTACGATCTTTGACATATTCATTTGGAATCATCTAATCAAACAAAGTCGTAGTTAAAACAAACAAAAATAGCTTAAATGGCAAACAAATTAAAGTCTTTATTTGCATTCAACTCATGATCAGGAAATATGTTTGTGGTTTCACAGTACCATCCTACTGGTGGAGGAGACGTTACGTACCTACTTTATTAAAGCTTGTAATTATATATTATTATTGAATTAATAGTTATTTTAATCTAGTGGCTCAAGTCCTAAGTTATACGGTTCACTGAAGGGTAAGACATTTTTTTTCTTTATTTATAATTAGAATAAAAACTTCTTTCACATGGTGATGAATAGAATTCTACTTTTAAAAAATGATTTTAAGCGTTTTCTGTATGTAGTAGTATATAGAAATAGATTCTTGAGGAAAATTTGTATTTAACTAAGTGACTCGTTGTTCATACATATGAAAATTATAAAGAGGCAAGGTTTTATTGTTAGTTTGTTTGAATTGAACGCACTTTTCCAACGCTATAGCTATACTATCCTCAGTGATCGCTTTATAAGCTTTGACAAATGAAAGTTAAACCGCGGAGCGCAGGTAATATTTGCTTAAAATGGTTTCTTATTAAAGTATCTTTGATATCGAGTAGAAAAATGACTTCTCTCGCCCAGGGTGAGGCAAAAGGAAGTGTCAGACTCTTACTGACTGAAACCCTCCCGTTCCTTCTCCTGCTCTGGGTCGAGGCTGTGGTACCTTATAGTGCTTACCCCGCAAACCCGGCTGAACATCAGCCCTATGGGGCTCCGTCTGTGGTGGTCTATTAGCGCTACGCGCCGTATGTTAAGTGTGGGAGAGCCATGCTTCGGCACGAATGGGTCGGCTCTACCAGAGTTATACCACGGCCTCACAGAAAACCGGCGTGCAATAACCACAGCGTTGTGTTTCGCCGTGTGAGTAAGGTTACCGGAGGCCCAATTCTTCCCCTCCCCCAATCCCTCCTCTTTGCCTAAATCTCCAAATCCCTAATCCCTAAAAGGTCGGCAACGCACTCGTAACTCCTCCGTTGCGAGTGTCCATGGGCGGCGCTGATTGCTTACCATCAGGTAATACGTCTGCTCTTTTGCATAATAATATTGTTGTATAAAAAAATAATGCTCGGATCGCCAAAATATGTGTCCTTCCATTGTCCCTAATCGAACGATATCCATCATAAACTCCTTCCTCTTTTATGTCGTTCTTCTCACAATGTTTTCGTCTTTTCTTTGGTCAAAGTTGAATTCTAAACATCGTCATCACATCAACCACCAATTCTAGACAATTAGTTCAGTTATGTTTCTTCCACAAAGAGACTACAAGCTTTTTGATTCCAAACCTATAATAATGTCTTGAGGTACTCGTATACTTCAGTTTTTTTATTTGTTAATTTTTTTTTTTTTTATTGATTATAGGTTCGCGCTTGACCGCTATCTCACCTGATGGAAAGCGACGATGCGTACGACGATGGAGCGCGCTTACCTAGAAGTAACCTATTCACTCTTGACTTAAAGATACCCAGATTGTAACTATCAGGAAACACCGACTCCGGCAAGGAATTCCACTCCTTGGCTGTACGCATGATGAATGTGCTCCCAAAACGTTTTGTACGTATATGTGGGACATCCACCATGTACCGGTGGCGCAATGCCGTACGTCTGGTGGTCCGATGATGGAACGGGCTAGGCGGAATTAAATTATGTAATTCCAACGCACATTCCCCGAAATGCAACCGGTAGAAAACCGACAGGCTAGCAACTCGGCGTCGATGCTCAAGACTTTGAAGTCTCGACTCGACAAGTGCATCATCGCCAATGATCCTCTTGGCTCGCCTCTCAATAGACTCAAGCGCATCAAGTTGGTATCGGGCAGATCCGTCCCAAAGATGAGAGCAGTACTCCATAACCGATCGAACTTGCGCCTGATAAAGTTTAAGCAGCTGTTCCGGCGTAAAGTATTGTCTAACCCTTGCGAGGATTCCCAACTTTTTTGCAGCCAGTTGAGCTTTTGCTTCGATGTATGGCCCAAAATTGAGAGTAGATGTCAGCGTTATACCAAGAAGATCAAGATGGTCAGTTATCGGCACGGATACACCCCGGAAAGTTGGAGCAGGGCTAAATTGACTCCTTTTGCTGGAAAATAGACACGCCTGAGTTTTAGCCGCATTGAACCTGACCATGTTGGCGTCGCCCCATTTAGAGACAGCCTCCAAGGACAAGTTCAAGCGCCCAACCATAGCCTCTCGAAGAGTCTGGATCTGTGACCCACTAGCTCGTGCGCCGGACGTGTAACTCTCAACAACAGTGCTGTCGTCTGCATACCCAAAGGTACCGGGCTTAAGCAGGTCGTTTATGTGCAACAAGAACAATGTTGCCGAGAGCACTGACCCCTGAGGGACCCCAGCATTGATGGTCATTTGATTCGACGAGCAACCATCGATGACCACACGGATGGACCGGTCCCTCAGAAAGTCTGCGATCCAAACACACAATCCAGTGGGCAAACCGAATGAAGGAAGCTTACTAATAAGGCTTTCGTGCCATACCCTATCGAAAGCCTTCGAGATGTCAAGGGAGACGGCAAGCGCTTCCCCGTGTTTCTCGATGGCCTCACTCCAGATGTGGATGGCATACGCTAGAAGATCACCTGTGGACCGATTCCGGCGAAATCCGTATTGTCGGTCACTTAAGATGTCATTGGCTTCTAGGTATGCCAGGAGTTTTGTGTTCAGCACACGTTCCATTGTCTTAAAGAGAATGGACGTTACTGAGATGGGCCTGTAGTTAGCTGGGTCAGCCCGACTACCCTTTTTGGGCACGGGCTGTACGTTAGCTTGCTTCCATGCATTCGGAACTTTTCCAGCCTCAAATGAAAGCCTAAATAGGCGCGTCAGGATTGGAGTCAATTCTGGCGCACACGTTTTCAGCACGATTGCCGGTATCCCATCAGGACCGCTAGCCTTGTTCACGTCTAGGTTACGTAGCACCCTACGGACGTCCTTCTGATGGATGCGAATGTCTGACATACTCGTCTCACAACCATCAGGATAAGCAGGGGGCCGCGCGTCACCGGGATCTAGACGCGAAGATTCCGCGAAAAGGGAGGCAAACAGATTTGCTTTCTCCTCAGCGGTGTGGGCCAGCGAACCGTCGGGCCTCAGCAATGGCGGTAGTGAGGGGCGGCAGAAGTTCGATTCAACCGACTTAGCCAAGGACCAAAACGCTTTGCTACCAGCGGGGTATGAAGCAAGTTTGTTCCCGATGCGGCTGATGTGGTCGAATCGAGACCACCGCATTGCCTTCTTGCAAGACTTGGCAGCACTGTTGAAGGCTCTCTTCTTCTGACTCACGTCACTCGCCTTACGCATGCGAGCGTCGGCCCAGGCCCGGTATGCTTCGTGTTTAAGCGCATTAGCGCGATCACATTCAGTACCGAACCAAGGACGAGCTTGGCTAGACATTGTCACGTCGGAGAATGGAATGTAGTACTCCATCCCCCGGCGCAGCACATCCGCCACAGCATCTGCGCATGACGATGGATCATTCGAAGAAAAGCAAGTAGGCTGCCAAGGATAACATGCGAAGAAAGATCGCATGCCCTCCCAATCTGCTGACCTGTATCGCCAAATCCGCCTGGTGCCTCTAGGGCAGAGATCAGGCGGAGAATAGACTGATACAGATTTCACCAGACAGTGGTCGGAACTACCTAACGGTGATGATATCGACTCTGAGTAGCGGTCTGGATCTGTTGTCAGCAGAAGGTCCAAGCAATTGGCCGTGTGCGAATCAACATCCGGCACCCTTGTAGCTCCCTGGACCAGCTGAGTGAGATTTAATGCCAGCGCAAGCTTTCGCATCTCTCGACCAGCATGGTCTGTGCACTGGTATGGGAAGAGCCACTCCTGATGGTGGGCATTAAAGTCCCCCAGTAACACCAGTTGAGCGGAAGGGTACCTCTGCTGAGCCGCATCCGCCGCCTCACTAAGGTACTGTGTGAGCCTGGTCGCCTCTTGGTCTCCACTGTGCGAGCGGTAAACACAAGCATAGATAATTTTATCCATGCCTGTGTCCACCAGAGCCCAAAGCGTTGAGAATTTGGGATCCTCAAGGTTGCGGAGACGCCGATAGCAGATGTCGTCCCGGGCGTACAAGCACACGCCAGCGTGTGGTTTAAAATTGTGCTCCAGGATAAACCCTGGGTAAGACAGATACGACACATCTGATGGACTTCTAATCTGCGTCTCCGAAAGAAAAAAGAGGGATGGTTTTTCCGTCTCAAGGTGGTGATGGACTGCTGAGAGATTGGAGTGCAGACCTCGAATATTGCTGAGGTGCACTTTAAGTGAGAGGGAGTGCAGCCGCTGTGTACCGTTTCTCTTTTTCTTGGACCTTGGCATAATATGAGTGAAGGAGGTATGAGGAGAAGGAAGTGAGATGGAGCCCAATGCAGCCCACCCTCGGTCGCGCACCGGTGGGACAGCATCATTGGGGTACCAGTCTGGAGACTGCGGGGACGCCCGAGCCCCCCCGGAAATGACCATCGGGCCCTCTCTTCTGGTCGCCAACCAGCACGATGGTGCATTCCGGGATTTTTCGTCAGTTGGCGGGGCAGCCTTTCACGTGTGGCTAGCACATTACTTGGGCCCCCTACTAACTGCGGTCGGCCAGCGGTGCACCGTGCCTCGGATCCCGCTACCCTCCTCGACTAGTCTCCCGATACGTCAATACCAGCGCGAGGCCGGCTGGTCTGCATGCATTGGAACCGCCACTTCGACCCATTTCCTCAGAAGTGGCTACATAGGGCATCGTACCGGAACACGGCTAGGCCGCTTGGCGGTACGTCTTTGCCCAGTGGGTGGTCACAAGCCATCGGTCGAAACCTACCACCAGCTAGTGTCACCTGATTAGCACCACCCGGGGACCACGTGTAGGGCCTAACTGTGGGTATTCTCCTACGGACGCGGGTGACTCAGCCCCCTAATTCCTGTTTCACTATAACTTTACTGTGTACCTATGCATCTATAGGTAATGAGAATAATAATTATTTGCATACTTACATTGGAAATTATTCTTATTAAGTACTAAGTACTAATAATTGTTTTTTTTTTAAGTTTTGTAATTAATCATCAAATGATGATGATCTTTTCCCACCTGAGTGGAGCGGTACTCTTGTTGACTGACCCTGTTTCGAACTACTGCCGCGGTACATTTTTCACAACGCCAGCTAAACATCAGCCCCAGGGCGATCTATCTGTGGTGATTTGATGGCTCTTTGAGGTGGGCATAAAAGACCCGTTCAGGTTCAGAGTTAACTTGGCGAGATTACAAACTTACCTATAGCAAATTAAGTAGGAACATTTTCAAATGTTATCAAAGCTAGAACTCGATTTTGGTTCATTGTTTTAACCCGCGTTGTCCGGATAAAGAGTTACCTATGGGTTATTCCAGGCTATAATCTATGTCTGTCCCAATTTTCATCAACATCGTCGGAATCGTTTCCGAAATCCTGTGAATAGCTCGTTTAATATTTAATAAAAATAAAAAAATAACTAAACCAATTTTCGATTGTTTCAGGATTTACTGGAGCGGATATTTCGGTTGTTCGACGCAGACGGCAACAACAACTTAGATCAAAATGACTGGCTAGAGTTCTTGAAAGAACGACTCAGGTATGTTTACAATATTTCTATAGTTACTTCTACGTCCAACGCCACCTAGCGACGAGTAGTTAAACATACACTTTTTTGTTTACAGCGAAGACAAGCAAATAGATTTTGTCGAGCAAGTGGAAAGTGTAGCTTACGTTTTATGCGGCAACGGCGTAATAACATTGGACACGTTTCAACTCATCCTTAAAAATAAAGTTGTAAGTACTGACAAAACAGCGCCATCTCTTAGCCGTCAACAGTAATAGTAGATACCTTATATTGTTACTAGATGGCGCTTTCTTAAGGTCTAATATTTTTGCGAGTTTACCCTCAAACTTCAATACTACATATAATAAAACATTTATCTGATATAAGTTTTCATAGTAAAAGTGATAAAATAATTTATAGTTAAAATTAATTTGTATTAAATAGGTAACAAATAAGTTGTTCCGGGTGGTGGACACGGATGGTGATGGGTATGCGACGGCTGACGAGATCATGGAGTTTCTATCTACAGTCACCAGTAGCAGGTAATTGGAGGAAAACATATTTAACTATAAAATATTAGAAATTGCGATATTGATAATACAAACTATACAAACAACAACTTAAGTGTGGGAGAGCCAAGCTTTGGCGCGAATGGGTTAGCTCAACCGGAGTCATCGGGATCAGATACCACGGCCTCACAGAAAACCGGCGTGAAACAACCACAGAGTTGTGTTTCGACGTATGTGTGAGGTTATCGGAGGCCCTCCCCATCCCTTCCCAATTAAATTTATATTTTAATTAAATATCCGAAACTCTTATCCTTAAAAGGCCGGCAACGCACCCATAACTCCTTTGTTGTTGCGGGTGTCCATGGGCGGCGCTGATTGCTTACCATCAGGCAATCCATCTGCTCGTTTGCCGACCTATACCATAAAAGAAACATTGTCTAATGGATGATTCAATAATCAAATGGCAAAATAATTAGGCTTCAATAATTTAATTTTTTGCTATTTTTTTTAACATATTCATATTATTATTTGTGTTTCACAATGTATAAAACAGGTTAAATGTAATGGTTTAGAGCTAAATACAGTTATGGACCCTGTAGAGTACAGCAAAATAAAATAAAAAAATCTTACCTTTATCTAAAGTTAAATCTTAACAATCGAGAGACATAATAATATGTATATATTAAAATTCATTAATTGAGTATAAAGCTTTGTTGATCAATATATTTTTAAGTGCACATATGAATTTCACACATCACACATCCTCACCCTATAAGTGCCCACTGCTGAGCAAAAATCCTCTTCTGACACGGAGGAAGTTAGAGCATTAATCACCACGCTTACAATTAGAAATTATAATTACAGGTTTCCTCACGATGTTTTCCTTCCCCGTATGTCAGGGGTCTCTAAATTATCATAGAAAGTACATATTATATTAAAATTGTTTTGCATGAACATTCTTTCATTGAGTAATACCTAAGCTTTGTTGTTCAAAATATTTTTGATTGCACATAAGAATTTAGTTTAAAACTAATCGTATGGTATTTTCATTGGTCATGTCATTGACCAATGAAAATACCATACGATTAGTAAGTAAGTAGAAAATTAGAAAGTAATTCAGTAATTTGAATTTAGTAGTTTATCCACTTACAACCCTTTGTTCAGCAGTAGTGATCTATACTAATATTACAAAGCTGAAGAGATTCTTGTTTATTTGAACGTGCTAACTCTGGAACTTCTGGTTCGAATTGAACAATTCTTTTTGCGTTAGTTGATTTATCGAGGAAAGCTTTAGGCTATAAAACATAACGCTACGATAAGTGGGAGCAGAGCAGCGGGTGAAACCGCGAGAAAGTAGCTAGGGAATGATAAAGATGATCCCATGGTAAACAGTGGCATCGATTCAAAAGATAATGATGATGATGTAAAAATAACATTTCATATCGTGAATCCAAAATGTTTCAGGCCACGCGTGGGTTTTGACAAGCACAGCGTTGATCGACTAGAGAAGCTGTTCAGAGCGACAGTCGGAGATGAAAAGGAGATCACCAGGGAACAGTTCCAGAAGATCGTCGTATCTAAGAATGTAAGTTAACATTATAAATCATATTTTATTAATTGAAATGTATCACAACGAACCATTATAATATTAGAATAATCATTGTATTGTGGGAGAGCTTGCTTCGGCACAAATGAGTCTGCTTAACCGGAGTGAAACCTACCACGGCCATACAGAAACCAGCGTAGTTTTTCAATATGTCATTGAGATTAACCGAGTCCCAATCCTTCCCCTCCCCTTCCTCAATCCCAAAATTACCTCAATCCCCAAAAGGTCGGCAATGCACTAATAATTTGACCTTTGGTGTTTGGTGGTTGGTGGACACCCATGGGCGGCGTAGATTGCTCACAACTGGTAATCCGTCAGCTCACATAAAAAAAAGACTGTGATCTCACGGCAATGTGATATGCTGCCACGTCGCTGATACTTTTTTAATTGGAAAACTTCTAGCAGATTCTGCGAATCAAACATCAACTCAAATATCTCAAATAACTCGACTAATGTAAATATTGAATTATTCATATGTTATTCTTATACCACTTTGTTCTGTTTCCAGCCGTTCTTCACGGAGCGAGTGTTCCAGATCTTCGATGAAGATGACTCTGGCGCCATTTCTCTTCAGGAGTTCATCGCAGCCGTCCACCAGTTCGCCGGACAGACGCCTGAGGACAAGATCAGATTCCTGTTCAAGGTTTATGATTTGGATGGTAAGTTTAGCGTCAAGCTTATTAGGTAGGTACTTCATCGGTAATGGCCAAGTTAATTTTAAATGTGCTAATATCTTATAAGTAGCCTTCTATTTAATCTTGTCCAATAGTTGTGTGTAGAAGTCTATGGAACACATCACATCATCAGCCTATAAGTGTCCGCTGCCATAAAGGTCTCTCTCAGAGAGAAGGTTTGAGCACTAACACCACCAACACCAAGAACATATAACTCAGCAAACTATCTTCACCTTTAACTTACTTCATATTTGAACAATCCTATGCTTAAAGTAGCCAGACTTCGTGGCAAGGTAAATAATGAGACTGTAGATGGTTAAGGTCTGTTTATTACTTTAATTGCTGGTGCTTATATACTAAGGAGATGCGTGAGATTTTCAGATTTAGCTATCCTAACAAACGTGCAACAATTACATGTGTGTCTTATCTCTATCGTATCTAAGTAATGTAGCGACGTGATCGTGCCGCTACATATACTCCCCCCTTTTAAAAATAATTAACATATAAATTGAAAAAAATTAGTGTGTACCTAATTATATAATAACTTAACCTTGCTGATAAATTACATCCTATGCGTAATGTAATGTCATTGTTGCTAATTCGAAGGAAATAAAAACTGCTGCCTTTGTTGTGACGGCGGCGGCAGTCGATGAACTATCCACTGCATTTGTGCTGATTGTTTCTGCTGATTGAAAATTTTAAATTCTTGTTATTACGAAGTCGTAATAATTCTTGGTCATCATGCTGACATCTTGCTAAATCAGCATAATTAATCGGTGATGGCACATCAATTTGTTCTATCCGTGACAATGCGTCTGCTACAATATTGTCACGTCCTTCTATATGTTGAATGTTGGTACAATATTGTGAAATAAAATCCAGTTGTCGTATTCGCCGTGGCGTATCATTAGATGACGGTTTTTGGGAAAATGCGTAAGTCAAAGGTCGATGATCTGTAAAGATAGTAAATTCTCTTCCTTTGACTAACCTTTGAAAATGTTTGACTGCCATATATATTCCGAGCAACTCTCTGTCGAATGTCGAGTATTTTTGTTGAGTATCACTTAATTTCTTTGAAAAGAATCCTAATGGTTCCCAATTACGTCCTGACTTCTGCTGCAGAACTGCGCCAACACAGGTCGAACTGGCGTCCGTCATAAGTGCCAAAGGGGCGGTGCGAGAGGGGTGAACTGTTAATACTGCGTTCATTATATTTTCCTTGCATTTATCAAAAGCTTTTTCGGCCTCTGTTGTCCAAGAAATTGGAGAATTATCCTTGGTCCTTTAGTGATAATATGATGCTTAATCTTGTGTTTTGGAGTAGTGCGGAGGGAGGCTGGTTTCGTAATATCCTCGTATTCATTTAATAGTTGAGTAATGCGTGGATTCGTCTCAATGTTAATAGTGCGGATTGTTTGCTGCGTCGATTTGATCAGGGTTGCGGGCGTTGTCAGCTCAGTTACCCTATCTATGAGTTTTCGACCAGCTATATCGACTAATAGCTTATAATGCTCTAAAAAATCTGCTCCAATAATCGGTTGTGTTACATCGGCGATGACAAAGTTCCATACAAAGTTTCTTCGTAGCCCGAAGTTTAAAGAGAGTGTTTTTTCACCATATGTCTTAATTTTTGTACCATTGGCGGCATAAAGTATACATTGTTCATCTTGTATTAGTGAATGTCTCTGTGGCTTGCTAATAACTGAAATATTTGCTCCCGTGTCAATCAAAAATCTCATACCACTTTTTCGGTCGGTAATAGTGAGGCGGTTGGACGGGTGAATAGCACAGAGTTCCGCCGTTGTCCGTGCTTCAATTAGTTTCCCTGTTTCCTTGAGTTGAGATCCTGTTTCCAATCACAAGGTTGAACACACTTTTGTGCATATTTTTTAAATCTTCCATGGTAAAAACAAAAGTGCCTTCTTTCTCTTGAACTTGACTGTGGTAGGAAATGCCGACGATTGGAATAACTTTGAGTGCTGCGTCGATAGTTTTTTTGACCTTGCTGAATTGCATTTAGTTCCAATTGCATTTCTGCTAACTGTGCTAGTATGCATGACATTGTATCGTCGCCAGATTTGTTTCCGTTTACAGCTGACACCTCTGTACGTGTTGAATTTATTAATATCTTGTCCGCGATCTGGCTCATCTTGTTCACATCTATGTCTTCTGTGACTGCTAGAACCGAAGTCACTGATGGTGGCAGAAGCCTCAACCATAGAAGTTTGATGGTTTCGTCGCTGATATTTCCGTTACTCAGGGTCCGCATCTTGCGCAGAAGATGTGATGGTTTCTGGTCGCCGAGATCCATTTCAGACAATAATTTTTGGAGCTGACGTTGGTCTGATTCCTCATAGCAACTGATTAGGCGTTCTTTGATAGCCTTGTACTTTTCTATTGGCGGTGGGCAAGTAATGAGGTCACTAACCTGTATTATTTCTTCTTTTGGCAGTTTTGCAATGACCGTATAGTACTTGTAATCGTCTCCTTGCTTCTGTGGTGCTACTATGGCTTCTAGTTGCTTAAACCATAATCTGGGTTGGTCCCTCCAAAATTCCGGTTCCGGCTGATATCTCCAAGGCTTCTTGTTGGCTGCTGCTTGATTTGCAGGGTGAATGAGTCATGTTGATTGTTCTTCGTCGGGTCACCAATTTGCCAGACTTCGTGGCAAGGTAAATAATGAGACTGTAGATGGTTAAGGTCTGTTTATTACTTTAATTGCTGGTGCTTATATACTAAGGAGATGCGTGAGATTTTCAGATTTAGCTATCCTAACAAACGTGCAACAATTAACATGTGTGTCTTATCTCTATCGTATCTAAGTAATGTAGCGACGTGATCGTGCCGCTACAACTAACATAGTCACAAACACGATCAAATGGAAAGTCACGAAAAAACGTTACAAAATTCCTCTTCGGTGATCCAGGTGACGGCCTCATCCAGCACCGTGAGCTGCAGCACGTGATGCGCGCCTGCATGGAGGAGAACGGCATGCAGTTCAGTGACGACCAGCTGCTGGAGCTCACCACCGCCATGTTCGACGACGCCGACACCGAGCGCCGCGGCGCCATCACCTACGACGCGCTGAAGAAACAACTCGAGAGCCACGATGGATTGCTGGAGAATCTGTCTATCAGGTATTGGATATGAGTGTGCTGTTTGAACAGTTTCGTATTTATTTTCATCAAGCCTTGTTTTGATGATGATGACGATTACTTTACGCTTTGTGACAGTAAACATAACCATTAGCCTTTGCATACGCATGAGGGAGCTATCCTCTTCACGCCCCAGCCGCCGCAGTAGGCGGCACACCGGACGTCGGATATCGAGAGACTATCTCCGGCCACCGTAAGCGCGGATCTGCAGACGGCGAGTAAGGGCTGCTCGCCGCCCGACCAGAACCAGACCCGAGCTTAGGGTCCCTCAAAGAGCCAATAGACCACTACAGATGGGGCCCTATAGTTATATCCAAGAGTTACATTTTCTCTTGAATATAGCTCCTAATTTTATTCATAATCTTGTACTATTTACAGGGTGAGGTGTGACACAATTCATTTAAGATCTTCTCAATGACATAGCTAGATTAATAGTTCCTCTCACTCATTCCCTTCTTTTCCAGCATAGACCGTTGGCTGGTCCCTCCGAAACAGGATCCAGAACCCGTCTCCTTCAAGCAGCGCCTGTCCCGACTGAAGCCCTACCAGTTATCGAGGCCTTACTTCAAGAACAACTACGTGTTCCTCACTTACTTGGCCCTGTTTACGCTTGTCAATGTTGGCCTCTTCGTCGCTCGCTGCGTGGAGTACCGCAAGGCAAATGGATTTGTTATTTTCGCTAGAGCTTGTGGTAAGTCGACTTTGAAGAGATATTTTAGTGCCTTACTTTTTTTGTAGTAGCTTCACAAGATGACAGACGGACAGATTTATACACATAAAGCTTAAACTAATACCTTTTGATATAGTTTTTTGTTTAACGTTCAAAAGTGCCTGTTGTTGCCTATTTGATATTTGAATTTGACTCTGACTTTGTTACACGTCGGTGCTCTGTTAAGCCGTGGTTCCATCACTCCGGTCGAGCTGACCCATTCGTGCCGAAGCTTGGCTCTCCCAATTATTGTATCTTTATCAATTTCTAGGACAATGTCTAAACTTCACGTGTTCCTGGGTGCTAGTGCTGATGTTAAGGCACTGCCTCACTGAGTTACGCGTGCGCGGCTTCAGCTCCTACCTGCCCTTGGACCACCACATCTACCTCCACAAGCTGACCGGCGTGTTAATTGCTATCTACAGCCTCGTCCATACTCTTATGCATCTTTGTAATTTTAGTAAGTATCTCATCATCATCATCATCAGCCTATAAATGCCCACTGCTAAGAGCAAAGGCCCCTTCTCACATGGAGAAGTATTGAGTATTAATCAACAAGCTTGCTCAAGGCGGATTGGAGATTTCAAATGTAGAATTAGAAATTTTAAAGTCCAGGTTTCCTCACGATGTTTTCCATCGCCGTATGTCAGTGGTGTCTTAACAATTATAGAAAATACGTTTTTAATTTTTTTATTAGTACTTGTCAGATTTCGAATTCCGTCGGGTGTGAAACGATCCTTATTCATAAGAAGCGGGCGATATATTATAATACTTATTTACATTATATTACAGGTATAATTGTTGTGAACGATCCGGTCCTCAATAAGGCTAACTACACATTGTCGGAGTGGCTGCTGACGGAGAAGCCGGGCCTGTTCGGTCTGGTGCCGGGCTGTGCGAACCCCACTGGTATAGCCCTGGCCGTGATACTGCTCGTCATGTTTATCTGCAGCCAGCCTTTTATAAGGAGGGGTGGGAGTTTCGAGGTGAGGTTTTTTGTCGGGAAATAAGGAGATGGATCACCTGTTGGTAAGCGGCAAGTTCAATGGTGGTCTTTTGGGAGTCACCTGAAGAATATAGAGATATTCGTTTTTATGTTTTCTTAATGAAGAATTGGATAATTTATACATAATATCATTTTTCAATGTGATAGGGCAGCAAACGAGCAGACGTGTTACCTGATGGTAAGCAATCAGCGCCGCTCATGGATACCCGCAAAACCAAAAGAGTTACGAGTGCGTTGCCGGCCTTTAACGGATAAAGGTTTTGGATATTTAAGGATTGGGAAGGGATGGGGGAAGGGTATGGGCCTCCTGTAACCTCACTCACACGGCGAAACACAATGCTGTGGTTGTTTCACGACAGTTTTCTGTGAGGTCGTGGTATCACTCCGTTCGAGCCGACATACTCCTGCCTGCATGCAAGCTTGGCTTTCTCTTACTTAAACGTAACAAATGTATTATTTAAGTGTGTTTATTGTTTAAGTGAGGTAAACGTAGGCCCACTCCCTCCTCAATTCTAAACTTTCCGAAATCCCCAAAAGGCCGGCAATGCACTCGTCACTCCTTTAGTGTTGCGGGTGTCGATGGTCAAATATTACCATTGTATCGTCCAGGTGTTCTACTGGTCGCACCTGCTGTACGTGCCGTTCTGGCTGCTGCTGCTGGTGCACGCGCCCAACTTCTGGAAGTGGTTCGTGCTGCCCGGCACCGTCTACCTCTCCGAGAGAATCATGAGGCTCGCTTGGATGAGGTAATACTGCCATACTGCCAAAGTCAAATCATCATTTTTAAATCAACTTTAGGCGCTTTTGAACGTCAAACAAATAAATAAATAAGTAGCAAAAAGTTCAACTTTGTGTCGGTCTGTCTTCTAGTGAAGCTATTTGGTCGTTCCAAAGTGTATATTCCTATGGAGAGGAACGAGTAAAAATGTTACTCTTTTACAATCAATTTGTCAACTCAGTTTAAATGACAATCAGTAGATTTATAATGGCTTTATAACACTTTATTACCCATATATTTTATTTGTATTTAACAGTTCCAGAATATTGAATTATTTTCTGTCTTTTGTGTAGGTACTTAAGTATATTTTAGAATATTATATACATATTATATATGTATACATTTGAAGAATATGTAAATAAAGCGAAGAAATATTCAATCTATGTTACATCTTATTCCATTTCAAACCAATTGTGACGAATAAATAGTGACGAACATAGTTTTATGTATATTGACACTTGGTAGCACGGCAGTGCAACGCCAAGTTCGACCAAGTGAATAGGGATGTCTCCTGGGTTAAAACAACAACATTCTAATAAGTCCGTCAGTTACATTATAGAAAAATACTCGATATTATTTGTCCATACGAATCATATTGACAAAGAAACAGCACATTCAAATTCAGGAGTTTGGGCTCGTGACGTCACTCTTTCGTTAAAGATTTACAAAATAATGACGTAGCGCGAACTTTCGGCGCTCTGTAAATTTGTTATTTTAAGTTTTAGACGCAAAAGAAAAAATACGTATCTTCTAATTTCTGGCGTTCTAAAAGATGGACTTATTATTATTTTTTAGTCGTCATCTCTATTGCAAGCGCCTGACTTTATATTTCTCTATGATTTTTACTCAATACATGATGCCATGTTTATGTTCCATTAAGATAAACTAAAATAATAAAAAATTGTTTTTTTTTGTGTTAAGGAGGCAAGAAGTTCTTTCAGACTCTTACTGACTAAAAACCACCGTTTTTACTCCTGCTACATTAATACACTTGACTCGTGTGAAGTGTCAACATTACTTGGAAGTACCTGAGTATCAACCAGTTTCGAGTGGATAGGTTATTTATATACATACATATATAGGCGTGCTTTACCGTCGGCCATATCATAGCTTTCCAAAATATTATTATGTGGGTACATGTATATGCTGAGCTAAGGATAATGAAATAATTAAAAATACTATGTATTTTTCTTTCTCAGATCAGAGCGAGGCAAGACCTACATATCATCAGGTATCCTGCTCCCCTCTCGCGTCACGCACCTGGTGGTGAAGCGCCCCCCTCTATTCCACTTCCACGCTGGAGACTACGTGTTTGTGAATATCCCTGCTATTGCTACATATGAGTGGCATCCTTTTACTATCAGCAGTGCTCCTGAACAGGAAGGTACAATGGAATTTTGTATACTAATAACTATTAGGAGGTTTAAGTTAATATATTTATTCACTTTGCGTTGTATCATTCTTTACTACTCCTCACATTTTTGCTTCTAAATCCGTTTAAGCTTGGTACTATTTTCACCTGTAGTGTAACGAAGTTTAGTAATCACAAAGCAACGTTTTATTCAGTTTTATTTTTTATCATTTATTTTAAATGTGGTTTTCTAGTTTGCGTTTTAAAATCCAAAATTATGTTGATTAGGACAACATTTTAATTTCTTTTTTTTTGCTTAACATCAAAATGATTATACGTTCACATAATAATATACTAATGGGTTAAATGCGACAAAATTACAGAATACATCTGGCTGCACATCCGAGGCGTGGGTGAGTGGACCAACCGATTGTACTCATACTTCGAGAGAGAGCAGGCCAGGCTTCACGGTGAAGAACTGCCAGCTATAGAAAATGGACATCAGTAAGTATCAGTCAGATTTTTGAAATATAAGTATTTAGCATAGGCGTCTGAATACTTTAGATGTGCTTCGTCTGAGTGTGCTTCATGGAATGTCTCTGAATTTCGTAGCACTAAAAGTTTCAACAAAATATTGAACGCTATTTTAATATAAAATGATAGCAAGCCAATTTTCCAACAATTTAATTATGTATTGAAATCAAGTGGTCAGTCAAAATTAACCACCAAAACTAATTTATTTGGAGGTCTTAATTACTACTTTTAAATTGGTGGTTTTGACCCATTGAAAACTATTCCTGCACCTTATTATTTAAAATAGTAATACCTAATAACTGTATTATTAATAAAACTAATTAACTTCAACGGTTTTCTTTTCAGAAAGCTAGCACGTTCAATATCCAGTCAGAGTAAGAAAAGTCGCAAGGGCTCCGTGGGTAGCACTAAGAAGAGGTCTGTTGACTTCTCTCCCAAGTGCTTCACTAACGAGGCATATGTTGCAGAAGAAGGAAATGGGGACGTCAAACAAAACGAAGGTAAGTGAGTTATGTGAGAGTCGCAGTGAAAATAACACATCGTAGTGTTAAATAGGTATATATTTATAAAAAAAAAAACATTAATTTCAACGACACATCCTAGCTTGAAAAGCTTGTCTTATTACTACTCTGTCAAGAAAGTACCGGGAAAAAGTCAATAATACACAAAATGTTTGTTATTCATCTAAATTTATTTTATCACCTTCAAAGTATGCTCCTTCAGAAACGATACACTTACGCCAACGAATAATCCAATCATCGAAACTTTTTTTAAACGCTGTTTCCGGAATTGAGTTCAGTGCTCGCCGCGAATTCTCCTTTATGTCTTCTAACGATTGAAAACGGGTGCCACGAAGGGGTAATTTGAGTGTGGGAAAAAGAAAGAAGTCGGCTGGAGCCATATCTGGTGAATATGGTGGCTGCTCGATGGTGTTTGTTGAGTGTTTGGACAAAAAATCGTTTACAATGATGGCCTTGTGCGAAGGCGCATTATCGTGATGCAAAATCCAAGAATTTTCTTTCCACATTTCTGGCCTTTTCGTCGAATTTGTTCTCTTAAACGCCGCATAACGCTCAAATAATATTCTTTATTTACCGTTTGACCTTCGGGCAAGAATTCTGAGTGCACAACACCGCGAAAGTCAAAGAAAACAGTCAACATGACTTTGACTTTTGAATTCCGAAGCTTGTTGACTAGTTTGCATGTCAAACTCGTAAACCCACGTCTCGTCACCAGTAACAATGCGTTTCATGAATGTTGGGTCGGTATTGACTCGTTCTAGGATGTCCTCAGCGACTTTCATGTGATTTAGTTTTTGAAGAAAATTCAGGTCTTTTGGGACTAGCCGAGCGGCAACACGTTTCATACCCAAATTATTTGTTAAAATGGTACGGATCGACTCGTAAGATACAGAAAGTTCGGCGGCCATCTCTCTCAAACTTGAATGAGGATTTTCAGTCACTATTTCCTTCACTTTTGCGATGTTAACTTCAGTTGCAGACGTTGATGGCCTACCAGAACGAGGCAAATCTTTCATCGCATCTCGACCGCTTTTGAACGCTTTGTACCACTCATAAGCACGTGTTTTTGATAAAGTCGATTCACCGTAAGCCTTCTGTAACATTTTGAGTGCCTCCGAACACGAAATTTCATTGGCGATGCAAAATTTAAGACAAACTCTTCGTTCGATGTTTTTGTCCATTATGAAATTCGCAATACACACTAGATATTATAAAACTAAAAACAGCACTGTTTTTAATATAAATAACAGGTGCAACTCAAATTCCGGGCCAAAATGGAAAACAGTTATGCCAATCTAACACCAACAAAAAAAAAAAAAAAAAATTCGAATTTGGAACCATAAAAAAACATTCATTCCCGATACTTTGTTGACTGAATGTATATCGGTGAAATTCGAATCGGGTTCGAATGTAGTATTAGAATACGAAATGTATGAAAGGTTTTATTCCAAAAATATGTCAAATTTGAGGGTGCCGCTTAATTGTTTATTTTCCTGCTGGCAGACAGACGTATTGTAGACGGGCAGACAGCGCAGTTCCTATTTTTATCAAATCTGTCCGAAACCCTCAAAATAGAGAACTTATAAATTAAAATTCATAGTTTATTATAAAAAAAATTGTCAGCCAGGTAACAGTCTTAGAATTCCTCATCGGTTGTGGCGTCGACTTGTCATTATCACTATACAATATTTAACTCGATATTTAAAAATTTTCAAATAGTTTAAATATTGTTATAATTGCATATCTGCCTTATTCTTCCAGCTCAATCACCGACAAAGATATCGTATCACCCCTCACTACTGCTGGCTCCGCCTCGCACTCTGGAAAAATCTCGATCCATGCCCGACGTACAAAAGAATTTGAAGAAACGACAGCGTTTGATGGCGTATGTTTCATAATACTTGGCGGTTCTCTATCGTGCTTCTATTTAACCGATAAATATTATATAGTGCTAAATTATGGCATATTTTTTATTGTTTTATGTTTTATCCGAAATGATCTCATACATAACTCAATATTTTATTTCACGATTTATATCACCGATCATTCAATAATGATATTTATGAAGGTATAAAGCTTATTATTTTTCCTTCCTCACAGTCTACGTGACTTCATGCGTTCGGAGTCGGAAAGCAAATTGGACGAGGGCTCCATACTGAGCGCTCGCAAGACCTTCGGGCTGGCCAGCAAGATCCCACAGAACAAGTCCCTAGTACATAGCTTCAGGTACATGAGGACTAAGCCTACAATCATCGCCTTCAAGACTCCTAGCTTTGAGGAGAGGAGAAGGAGTAATGACAGCATTTTGACTCTTGGTGAGATCGAATATTTAATTTTCCTGGTTAACTGGAAGTAGGTTTTTAGCTACATACATAACATTGATGAAAAATACTTAATTTTTATGTAAAACTTAGTTTACGAAGTGATTTATTTAACTGCCAATATTAATTTTAGGATGTAACTAAGTTATAAAATTATGGAGTTTCATTTTTTTTACATTGCAGCCACTTGTGTCGAAACGAATTACTTTATTTTAAACATTTTATATTCAATATTTTCAGCTCGTCGTCGTCTATCAAAGAGTTTATCTCCGGACAGAGACATTGAATGTCAGCCAGAGAAGATAGTGGAATGTGAAAACGATGGTTCGGAGGCTACTGATGACTTCGAAGTCAACTATCCTATTGGAAAGCCGCTGGAGGTAAACCATTTGAACTAGAAACCATTTTTAGAACACAACGTAATGTTCTGAATTAACTGAGAGTTAATGCTTAACCTATTGGTGTTTTTTCTGATACTGACTATGAGACGACATGTTCTATATGTGTTTTTAGGATAATTTACTGATTCTAGTATGATTTTTTGCTGCTGTGGCTATATCAGATTGCGTTCCTTCTGGCCTCTCAAAACAATATATTTTGGTTCACTTTAGATCTATCTTGATGGTCCATATGGCGCGGCTTCCTCTCACATCTTCCTGGCTCAACACGCAGCTCTCGTGGCGGCCGGTATTGGGGTCACTCCCTTCGCGTCCATACTGCAAGCTGTAATGTACCGCTACTGGAGTGCGAGGCAGGACTGTCCTAAGTGTGGGCATACGTGGGCGTCTGACATGCCCAGACATAATATGAATTTAAAGAAGGTGAGGGTTTTTTTATTGCAGAAGTAACAGAGTATCAATCAAAAAATCTTCCTTTTTTGTTATATTTGGACATTATTTTCCCACCAAATAAAACTCATTTATTGCTAAAAGGGCACAGGGGAAAAACATGTAATGTCACAAAGACAATGAACTGAGAAATTGCTAAATTAATCTTTTGATCCTTGAAAAAAGGTACATTAAAGTTTCAAATAGAAGAAAAATATTATTTATTTATAAAGAAAATATATTTGTTTCTGTTGTGTAGTAAAAAAAACCTTTCCATTCTTATGTTTATTGAGTGAATTGAACCTAACAATGATGGACAATGCTTATTTTTCTCCTGTACGAGTTGGACATTGCTTGTTATTGCACTGTATCAATATTTTACTATGAATATTAGTCATTGACTATGCATATGCATGTTACTGCAAAGTGTGTTTTGGCGTTTCGTTCTACCAAATTTGTACTTCACAATGGCATCGCCAGTTCAAAAAACGTAAAAATGTGACATAGCATGTTTTTCCCCTGTACCCTTTTTCTGCAAATTATATAATAGATTCCTTATAATGTATACATATAAATATAAATCGGATATATAATTGGATAAAGATATAAATCGGCTATGCCGTGAGAGAGAAAAAATGCATCAAATAATAAGACTATTTCTTATATGATATTGAAGTTCTATATTACTAATTTTCATTGGCGCCAGGTGGATTTCTTCTGGATAAACCGTGAGCAACGTTCGTTCGAGTGGTTCGTATCGCTGCTCTCTCAGTTGGAGATTGAACAAGCGGAGCTGGGTGGTGCCATGGAGCGCTTTTTGGAGATGCACATGTACATCACCAGCGCGCTACAGAAGTCTGATATGAAAGCTGTTGGACTTCAGCTGGCTTTGGATCTTTTGCATGAGAAGGTATATTTTAGCATTTTACCTGACATTTTCCTAATCATTTAGAGTGAGTTTAAAAGCATCGTAAACAAATTATCCATAAAATAATACCTATAATACTCTGCTTTGCAGGAAAAACGTGACCTAATCACAGGCTTGAAGACCAGAACGAACGCAGGACGTCCAAACTGGGATAAAGTATTCAAACAACTGCAGGAACAGAATAAAGGAAAAGTCACTGTCTTCTACTGTGGACCTCCACAGCTTGCCAAGATACTCAGGGTCAAATGTGATCAGTTTGGATTTGGATTTAGAAAAGAGGTCTTTTAATAAAACGAAACTTGCTCCAACACAAATGCGGACGGTAGCAAGTCAAGTTATACCTTATCTAACGTTACATTTACAAGCGTATGTCATAGGATATTAAAATGAAAGTCTTTTGAAGCTTGTGAGATCTTAATGTGTTGGCGTGGATATGCTCAAAGATAATGTAGGTATTCGTTGTTAGTGATAAAAGTTACCAGAATAATATGCCATGTGATAGAAATGTGATCAATTACCAATGTTTTCTGGCTTATAGAAGAGATTCTTATTCGTATTGTTAATAAACTGTCATAAAATGTACCTTAATCTAATTGGAGATTATTTTTAAGTCGATATGTAATTTAATTTTGTATATTTTATTAATTTTTAATTTATAACTATAGCATAATGATTAATTTATTCAATCGAAAGAAAAATAACCATGACATTTATGAATACTTAGTATCAGTGTAACAGTAGTGACAGACACATTTTAGTAATAAAGACATTTTATACTTGGACAAATATTGGCATGAAACGAAGTGTTTGAGAAATCATATATTTTTGTTTATGTAATATAATGTACTTTGAGACAGTCTACCACCCTGACGATCGTTAAAATGAAATTGACACAAAACCTACTTCAAAAAAATCAGAAAAAACACAGCTCACAAAGCTATACATATATGTATATCTTAATAAGTTACAGTGCAGTTGAAGATCGCTTGTGTGAGTGACGTCAATGAATATAATAACTCAATAATGTGAACTTTCTTTTCAATTAGGTACTTTACTTTCATGATAATTTTATTTTAGAAGAAATCTGTTCCATACTCTATTTAAACATTGTATGCCTAATCTTCAAAATATTAATATAAACATTCAGATACTTATTCAATGAAATTATTATGTTACGTTCAACTTGGCGGTGTGCACTGCCGTGCCCCTATAATTATGTCGAATCTTGTAATTCTGAAGAAAAAATAAAAAAATTTTTTGGAAAAAAATGATTTTAATTAAGTCCTAAGTTAAGTAAATAAGAATCACTATGTATGTACAACTGGCTTCATATTAAAGGAACCAGCTTACCTTGGTCTCGCTTTTTATGATACGGTCTGAGATTGAAGGGTCAGTTTATATTGGGTTTATTCTTGATGTGTAGCCGTGTGTACTATTGTATCTAAATATATAAGTAAGTAGGTATAGTTACTATAGTTATATAATTATGTGCCTGTTTGTCTGTATGTATAGTTACCACTTTGTTAGTCATTGCCATTATTTTGTACCTATGATAATTATTTGGACTTTTTTATTTGTTTAGATGATTTTTACTTAATTTAAATAAATGATAATTTCTGATCGTTAGAAAACATCGAAACTTATTCTTCAATATCCCGGCCCAGGCAGCTGCTAGGTATCATTTATTTTCCACACTATAAAAAGTCTCTTATAATTCAAGAGACACAGGGGGTTTTTAGTCGTAAGAGTCTGACACTCTCTCTCGCCTTATCCTGGGCGGGAGAAGTAATTTGATGATTTTCCCCAGAAAAAAAAGGCCTACGTACACCGGCCACTTTATAGGGTTAGAGTGATTTAAGAATAGGAGGTTTGAGGATTGATAATGGAGGAAGGATTGGGTCTCCAGTAACCTCACTCACACATCATAAGTGTTACTTCAAGCATGTTTTCAGTCAGGTTGCGGCTGAACGCTTACCATTCGACGAAGCATAACCATCGTTCCTGCCAACACCTAAACAATAAATATAAAAAATAGGTACTGTTTACAGTCTCTTAATATAATATTTGCAAATTTATATCAAAAAGAGAATTTAAATTTCATCGTTCAGCGCCATCTATTGTTGTTGTAGTGAAACAGTTACTAAGTAGGCGTACGCGTGTAGTTAGCAGTTTTATGAAGCTTTTTGTCTGTTTCATTCATTATTAAGTAGTGAAGGACTCAAGTCTTATAATCGCTCAGACTTGGGACAATAATTTGTGAATTTATTACTTTACAAATACGGAATTTATCACTATACAAATACGGTACACAATCAATAAATTCAATTTCATTAGGTTTAGTACGCACAATGATACGTATTCAGAAATTAATGCCCAGTCTATACGTCAGAGCATCGTCATCATCATTATCTACATAGGTACTACATACACTCGCATTTTACGCTAAATATATCGCGGAAACGTCACTCGACCTTATACCCAAGGTTGTTTGAACAAGTTCAGTGTCGTTATCCTGTCAAGGGCGACCTTCTAGTGACCTCGCGGCGAGGTCGCGTTGCCTCGTCACGAGGACGCGGCCTTAGCAAAGGTCATTGCTAAAAATTTACTGAAAATCATTGTACTTTTTACTTTTAATACTTAAAAAAAAACATGTATGTATTTTTCGTTGTTTAATTGTGTGCAAAATTATTTGTGACCTTGCATTCAAGGTTTTTTTTTACGTCATCCAAGGTCAAATTTTTGAAACGTGCTTCAGTTTTGACTTTTAAAAATTTAATCTTAAGTCTTACGTTTACGTTTACCTATTTATTAATATTACGTTTTACGTATTTATTAACCTTCTCGAAATAACAATATACCTAAATATCGTCAAATTTATTATGGCAGAGACATCTGTAAAGGAAAATTGATACTTTTTGGAGCCGCAACAAGTCTTTAAGTTTCAAGTTCCTTTATTATTTACTAGATGGCGCTGTCTTAAACAAAACAGATCTTAAAATTTTCGCTTAACATCTCTCTAATATTCTTATTGATAGGAGAAACATGACGGAGATCACATAGCACAATGATAAAATTAATGCCAAGATAAGACATCTTAACTTCATCGATAATATGACAATATATGTAAAGGTTTTGTGCTCCAAAGAAATTTTGACGGTAAAACAAAATTATTCAAGTGCTTAGAAGTGCTTCTTGAATATTTAACTTTGTTAATAGTTATTTTTATTCTATTCGAACCAATAGTTCCTGAGATTAGCGCGTAAAAGTAAAATATAGAACCTATAGATTTTCTATACAATAACCATGTCGTGTTGTGGTCCGTGCTAATCATAAATTGTAGACATTCCTAAAAATCAATCTTCGAGGAAATAATTCACAGAATCAGCCGGGATTGCGGGTGAAACGCAGTAAAGTACCACGACCTTTGACTGGAGCAGGTGAAGGAACCAGAAGGCCTACCATGTCGTGTTACAGTGTCAATCTTCCGAGCGAGAAAGAGGGATGTAGCTCTAAAAGGTGTATAGCTCCATCCCTCTTTCTCGCCCTCGTAGGCCCGCAGGCAGTTGCTAGTCAGTAAGAGTCTGTCACTCCCTCTCTCTTCATCCACGTCGGAAGAAGTCATTCGATGATTAACCCCCCACAAGAAAGGAAATAGTAGAATACATAGATTGAATCATTTTATTACTATTTTTTACCTAGAATGAAATTTTAACAAATACTCAATTATACTAGCTTTGAATATTCCTAAGTAATACAGTCATATTCCAAGAAATGTTGGATCCAAACGTTTAGTCAGCTTTTCTCAGAGAAAAACAAGTGAGATGCAACACAAGCTTTACTCAACCAGTGTATCAAGGTCTCGCGATGTAACTATGTTCTCGTCTCGTATTTAATGGTCAGTTTAAACTGGTTTTTATAGTTTGATGTGAAGCCTTGTGCATGTACACAGGAAAATATTAATTACAATATTATACTTACCTAATGTTTTAATATAACTAAGTGTAAGAGAGCCATGCTTCGGCACGAATGGGTCGGCTCGACCTGAGTGATACCACGGCCTCACAGAATACCGGCGTGATTTATTTCGCCGTGTGAGTGAGGTTATCGGATGCCGAATCCTTCCCCTCCCCCAATCCCTAAATCCTTAAACTCCTCTGATGGTGGGCTGCTGTTCAGCCGGGGTTGCGGGGTAAGCGCAATGAGGCACCGCGACCTCGGCCTAGAGCAGGAGAAGGAACGGGGGGTTTTTAGTCAGTAAGAGTCTGACACTCCCTCCAGCCCGACTCTGGGCGGAAGAAGTCATTTAATGTTTGTTCACAAAAAAACTCATCTGGTGTCCACGGGCGGCGCCGATTGCTTACAATCAAATAATTTGTCTTTTTGTTTGCCGCCATTTCATAAACATATTTGGAACGAAGTTGCTTATCGAGCATTGCTAGACGGAAAAAATGATATTTTATGCTATATACATCTCTCTGTTCTTTGACTACTTCAATTATATTTATTTGTTAAATAATTTAAAAAAAACAGCAGTTGATCGAAAGGAGGTTCGTTCTATCCGGGTAAATTATTTTTCAACACACTTCTCACTCTAATCCCACGGCAATAAGGCACATAATGACACCTAAGTACAATCAAACTGTGGCTTTTTCATTAAGTCCTCTTATTCACAAATAAGTAAAAGATTTTTTTATTATTGGTTGAGTAACGCTTACACGTGCACTTAACTTTTAGCCGCGAAAAGCCCTAAAAAAGAAATATCGTTTTTTAGTCTATGGCCGATGCGCGCGCGTATGAATCTGTGCTATGAATAATAATAAATTATTCCCGCCATTACGAAAAAATTTCACAACACAGTTTTTTATTTAAGTATTATTTTATTCAGAAGTGTGTTGAAAAATGTCGTATGATACATATTCTGTACATTACTCACTTATACCATACTGAATGCACTATTATTACTCGCTTCTGAAGTTACTATACTTAGTTTGTTGTTTTTTCTTCGGCATTTTCCCTTTGTCACCGAGAGTTCACCGGTCGCGCCGCTTAGTCTCCACACCGCACAGAGTGCAAATTATCGAGAATTTTGAATTTGAATGAATGATTGATACCAACGTTATTGCACTGAGTTATCTGGAAACCGAACTGGAGACAATGTTGTCACAATACTAGCGAATACTCCGACAAACGAGGGCTATTATTTAGTAATCACTTCTCCCGTTTCCCTCGACCGTGAACAACTTGTTCATGATATCTGGATGAACTTATAATAGGGTCATCTGATGGTAAGCAATCTGTGTCACCCATGAACACCTGCAACACCAGATCTACGAGTGCGTTGCCGATCTTTTGAGGATTAGGGTTTGGAGATTTAAGGGTTGGAAAGGAACTAGGGGAGGGGAAGGATTGGGCCTCCTGTTAGTGGTTGTTTTATCACTCCGGTTGAGCCGACCCATTCATGCCGAAGCATGGCTCTCCCATACTTAAAACTTTACTACATCAATCGGCTTTCCTAGTTGATTATTAATAACGATTACTCGTATTTATAATTTCATAGTGATATACATAAATATATGAAATTAGAAATGGTGCAAAAGATTATAGTAGTTTTTTATCTTGCAAAATATTTTAAATATTTTGCAACATACATGATTTGAGTAATCTTATGACATATATA